TACGATCATATAAAACATGTGTTGAACTATAGCCTTTGTTGCCTATTGTGCAGTGCCTTCAGCGTACATCCCAGACTGTTGGGATTTTTTTAACCACAGCATGAAAACTACTGCCCTAAGCAATAAACAGAGCAATGCTATGCCCTTGTGCTGACTCTCAGTGAGTAAAATAGGTTGGTAAAAACTGTTCCTCTGGGGATGTTCCTGGTGCATAGGGCATTTTGTGTGTGATAGCTGGGATGTACTTAACTGGCACAGTCCATATAAAAACTGATAAACACAGTGACCCATGTAGCCAGAGAATTCTCTCAAGACTGTGATCTAATGCTATCTTTCCTCAAGGTGTTGTTCTGAATACTTCTGTAAAGGACCAGCTGGGGACACATGATGTTTATAAAATGGTCTTTTGTTACCTATACATTCTAGAAAAGATGGAAAGCTCTGTGCTGAAAATGAGAAGATGCTACATTAATATTGTGCAGCTGCACCAATAGACCAAGGCAGTCCCAGAGCAGACCCAGCCCTTCAGAATTAGCCATGCCCACCATCTCCAGAAATTCCTTCTTTTTTCAATGTCTGAAAAACAAAAATTATGAAAAACTCTTAGCAGAAAGTACAACAATCTGTAGAAACAACCATCTAGGGTGCTTAGCCTTGCTACTTTTAATCCTGAAAAAATAAAATTTCCTGCCAGCTCCAAACCATTACCCTTAGAATATTTAAATGACCATAGGCCCCCCAGACACTTGTAAGTTGGTTAGGACCTAATTCTGCCAGGCTTGCCCATGTTGACTGTTGCTTTGCTCCACCTCCAACTCCATCCCAGAGTCAGGAACTGCTGGCAGAATTAGAAGTTCCTGCTTTCCTATTGAGTCAAGTCAGTAGAATCAGATTTTTAACAGAGAATGAGGTGAATCATATTTCCTCATTTCTGATGCATTCCTCAGTTTGAGTGTGTAAATTGATGGAGTGTGATTTAGTAGTGGCCTCTTTGCTAATGAAAAAAGCAGTCTTGACATGCTGGGGATTTTCTGATGGCTCATTAAATATACTCATGCAAGCTAAAGGATGCTTACAGCATAAGTAAAATGCTTATCTTTAGTAAGTGTTTGCCTTTGATAATGCTAGGGTGATGTATACTTGTTTAGAGAAACATGCAGAGAAATGTTGGCAAAGAAATTAAAATCTGTTATTTGCTTTTTATAAGCTAGCTGTTCAAGTTGTTGATGTGCAGCAGGAGTTACTACTGCTCATTACATGTTTCATATCCTGCTGCCTACGTGGACTTTTGCAGATTGATATACACAGCCCCTGCCTTTGCTCTGAAGTGGCAGCTGTGTGGCTGTGGCTGGCATGCAGTGCAGTGAAGTGCTGTGCTCCAACTGTACAGCAGGGTCCAATGTGCAAAGTGCAGGTCACTGCAGCTTGGGGCTGATTTGGCTCTCTATCATGGAATAACAGGGTGCTGCTTGCCAGGCTCTGTTAGAGCACAGACTAAGGTCATCTAGCTGTATCGGCCAGTAGCTTCATCCTCTGAGGATACAAGTGAAATGACAGATTTATGTTATTACATTTGCCAGTATAGAAGTATAATTATGAGGACTGAAATTATTGGGCAGTGTTTATCACTAGATGTTCATACCAAGTTGTGTTGTTCCTCTACAGAAATTAAGAGAGGGAATTGCTTCTGAACCAAAGCCAAGCATTGATATGTCTGAAAAATATTAGTAGCAAGGCATGATTTGTCTTTATTTCAGAAAGAGAAATTCCTTGATTCAGTTTACAGAGACAAATACTTCTTACCTTGTTCTCTGAAGAAGTAAGTCCTTATGCTTAAGCTGCAGAAATCAAGACAGCAGCACCCAATACAAATACTACCTGCTCTGCTAAGTGACAAAATTTCCCAGCTAGCCTTTCACTGGAATACTGTCAACTGCCCAGAAACACTATTGCTGGCCTGTTTAGTAGACCAGATGGTGGTTCCAAGCTGTGTTTCATTGGTCAGGGTTGCTTTGTGCTTCAGGAGGTACTCTAAAGTTGAGAGCCCTATACAGCTACAGAACAGAGGATTTAATATATGATGCATCTGGTGCAGTGGTAGAAGCCAGATGGGTTGAGTCTTGTTAGCCAGAAGTACGGCACAATGTGGCTGCACATTCAGATTTGTCTGAGTTTGTGACAGTGTCTGGGAAATTTTTTCCCATTAGATATCTTCTGAGCTTTAATATAACATCGATACTTTGACTCAGGATCTACTTTACACTTGCTGTTTGACACCATTCTTAAGAGTGATAGAAAAGCTTTAGTATTTAGGAATAATGAAGGAATATCAATTTAGTCTTCAAATTCGTAAAACTCATTATTAAGACTTTATTCATCGCATATACACAGTGATTGAACTCGGTATGTTCCCTAATTATTCTTTTGAATAACAGCACTTGAAATTTTCCCTTAGGGCTATGTAAAAAGTGGGGCTTTACAATAAGAATGGTGTCATTAATAGGATATTAGCTGCAATAATGCATATAGAATCATTAATGGGTGGACAAACTCATTTAGGTAAAACAGATGAGATCTTTGCTTTTTTTCATCACTGCTTGTAACTTAAATATTTAAATGGTTAGATATGATACAGGAAAAGATAATTCTTGACCTGTATTATCTCTGTATTTTCTCTGTTTTTTTTTCCCCCTGACATTTTTATTTTCAGCTCTTCTGTTCTCTTCTCTTGCTTCTCCAAGACTTATTCCCTCCCTGAAAAGAGGATCATCAGCAACCTACATCTCCTAGCAGTTACCATGCAAAAGGAAAAACTCCAGTATTTACTACCACTTCCCTCATGATGCCTCTTTCAAACAAGTCTGTAATCTGGTTGCTTACACTTTCATCAACCACTTTTTGTAGAAATAATGAGAGAGGAGAGAAAGAAGGTCCGTTTCAAAGCAATGAATCGAACAGCTCAGTATTCCTGACATTAGCTTCTTCAGGACTGAAGGCACAAGCGTGAAGCAAGATTCCTCCTTCAAGCAAAAATATATTTATTCTGTTTCAGATGCAAGCAGAGAGGATTAAAAACCGAAGTGACAGAGCTCAGCCTCCCATGCTGTGCATAGAAGGAAGAGGAGGCTTGGTTGGCATCTGTGATGGTAAATCCCAAATATGGTGTATACTCACAGAATTTAAGTATTGTGTCCAAAATTAAGTTTACAGATGACTGATTTACTGGATAGCTGCTTTTTCTTTTTTTTTTTTTCTTTCTTTTTATGTCCTCTTGTGAATCAACCAATACCCTTATGACTGCAATTGAATAATTGCACTGACTTTGACAACTTTGTCTAATGTCTCTAGCTCTCTAGAGAATCTGTGCAACAAAGCTGCTAAATCCCAGGGCTTCTTTGTAAATTAGGCCCTTTTCGTTAGATCTCATGCATTTAGATCTCACACAGTCCTTGGTCTACATGTAATCTTCAGGTGGATATTTTGTAACTTTGCCAGAGACCCAGCAGAATGGATAATAAAGACTCTGAATCTTACTTGGCCAGGTGACGCTTTCATATATTCATTCACAGAATGGCTTGGGTTGGAAGGGACCTCAAAGAGCTCCAAACCCCCTGCCACAGGCAGGGCTGCCAACATCCACATTTAATACTAGACCAGGCTGTCCAAAGCCCCATCCAAACTGGTGTTCAAGCCCCACCCAAACTGGTCTTGAACCCCTCCAGATATGGGGCATCCACAACCTCTCTGGGCAGCCTGTTCCAGCACTTCACCACTCTCTCTGTAAAAAACCTCCCCTGACGTCCAACCTAAATCTTCCCTCCTTCAACTTAAAACCATTTCCCCTTGTCCCGCTGTTATCTACCCTTTGAAAGAGTTGATTCCCCTCCTGTTTGTAGGCTCCCTTTAGGTACTGGAAGGCTGCAATGAGGTCACCCTGCAGCCTTCTTTTCTCCAGGCTGAACAAGCCCAGCTCCCTCAGCCTGTCTTCATAGGAGAGGTGCTCCAGACCCCTGATCTTCTTCATGGCCCTCCTCTGTACCTTCTCCAACAACTCCACATATTTTCTGAGCTGGGGGCCCCACATCATGGTGCAGTACTCATATGAGGCCTCACAAGGGCAGAGCAGAGGGGGACAGTCATCTCCCTGTTTCTGCAGTCCACCCCTTTTCTGGTGCATTCTTGGATACTATTGGCTTTTCAGGTTGCAAGAGCACACTGCTGGCTCATGTTAAGTTTTTTATCCACCAGGGTCTCTGGGTCCTTTTCTGCAGGGCTACTCTCAAGGACTACTCCTTCCAGTCTGTGTATATACCTCAGATTCCTCCAGCCCAAGTGCAAAACCTTGCAGTTTGCTGCACTGAGCCTTGTTAGACTCTCCTGGGTTCACCTTCCAAGTCTGTTGAGGTCCCTCTGAATGGCATCCCTTCCTTCCACTGTATCAACTGCACCACTCAGTTTGGTGTCATCAGCAAACTTGCTGAGGGTGCACTCAATTCCATCATTAGTGTCATTGATAAAGATGTTAAATAGCACTTTCTGGATGACAGAAAGTGTTTTTTCCCATCATGAGATTTTTAAAGAATCTTTGGATCTTAGTATGTTTTATGAAACATGACATATTGAATTGGAAGAACTTGATGGAACTTGTATAACATGCATAAGCAAGAAGAACTAGGAGAAAATTAGGATAGAGAGAATATATTTTCCTTGAGCTTTACTAAATGCTGATGCAAACAACCATCTTTACAGAATCACAGCTAAGAAGTAACACGAGATTAAAGAATAAACCTGTAGGAAAGTAGAATGAAATTGCAAGAAGGAAGAACTACACAATTTGATGTGAAAGAAACAGTGTTTTGCATAGAAGGTAGAAGATAGGAATGGAACTAACATTTAATAAGGGAAAGAGGGATTGTAGAATAATGTTCCAGAAGTTTGGTTGATTTGTTCATTTTTATTAAAGTATGTTTTAAAAGTAAATTTAGGAAAAAGAACTCACAAAAATAACAACAACAAACAACTTTCTTCTTTACTGGACCCCTAAATCTTTTGAAGACTTCCCTATTTATGAATTTGCTCACCGATGCTTTTTACATTTAATTTTAAAGTTGATTCCTATTCCAGATTACTATTTCAATCAGAAGTTTTCATTGCATGATCTTTTCATTTAATGCAAAATAATCTTACTTTTCCAGTTTTTCAGCTTAAATATTTAAGTGTTGATATGATGACCCTAACTTAGTGTGACATTCCATTTGAGTCTTGATTGGCACAGCTGATGTTTTTACTATTGATCTCTGTGAATTGTATGTGAATTTCACGTCATACTCCAGTTTTATATGCTGTTTTCATTTGATCCTCCTTTTTATTGAGTGTATGTCACAGCGCCTAAACTTTAAGTATTCTTCCCACATCCTATTACTACTCAAGCACAAAAAAATTCCACGGTATTAGAAAATTTCTGCATGTGTGTTAATGATGAGTTATTCCTGGATTCCAGCATACAAAGGGTATAGTCATCTCTGAAAAGACAAATGGAATTTTAGATCAATGCAGAGAAAGAATCTGGGGCTGGGATCTCTATTTTGTCTTAATAATACATGTGCTGTCAAACGCTTCTCCTTATTATGTGCATCGCTGAAAGATATTTTTTAATACTAAATTTCTTCATGAGGAATTCAGTGACTGAGACGGAAACAAAAAGCATATAAACACATTTCAGTGGTGCACATAATTTCCCAAACAGCAGCTGTTAACTTACACTCATGATGTATTCCTCAGAAGGTATTTGTGGAGCAATCAAGGCACCACCAGGCCTTCCTGCCCTGCCCAGCCCCTCTGGGACCTCTCTACACCCTGCCAGTGTGCCCAGGAGTCCAGGTTCAACTCAACTCAGGGCTACTCAGGCACAGGAATGGGGGGTACAGAATCCTGACCCAGAAAAACCAACTGAAATTGAGTTTAGACTGCAGAGGCTGTTCATGCATAGTTGGGCATGCTGCCTGGCTGACCTCTGGTCACAGTAGTGGCCCCATTTTTCCATTTCTCTCTGCATGCCAGAGCAGGGCCTATGTCACTGCTGCATGGTGGTCGGTCCCAGTTGGCTCCGTGGCAAGAGGATCCTGTGTATCTATGAGGGGCTGGAGTAGGGGCTCTCCTCCCTGGGTACCCCTTCTTCTATCACCACTGTGTGGCCACATGTGGCCCTGTGCTTTGCACATAAAACTGCTTGCCAGCGTTTAGATTCTGTGGATTTGTTCGTATTCTGACAAATGGAGCTGTAGACATCAATAGCTAATGATAATTAACAATTAATTAATGTGTTAAAGAGTGTAATAACTCTTCCTGAATGCTTTCCAAAGAAATAAGGAAGTCCCATGCCTGTGGTGGAGTGTGAGCTCCTCCACAGTCTTTCCTCAGTGGTTGAGTAGTCCTTGTTTCCTCAGAACTGACACTGCTGCCAAGACCATTTCAGCCATACCTGCTGAGTTAAAAACCATCTACTACTATACCTGAGTAAAAATGACCTCAGTACTCAGTAATGGAGAATCTATAAAGTACTGTGTTTTCAACGAAAATAGAAGACAACTGTTACTTCCCACTCCTCTAGCAAGTGTTAGATGCCAATAATTCTAATGCCTGCAATAGGACCTCTGCCATGGCCAAATCTCTGCACCTAAGTTCTTTTTGCAAAGAGATGTTCTGTAGCTGTATCTTAGAGTCATCACAGAATCATAGAATGGTTGGAAGTTGGAAAGCAAACTTAAAGTTCATATAATTCCAGCCCCCCTACAGTGAGAGAAGATTTGCCAACCACTAGATTAAGAACTATGTTGGACTGCCCAGCACCCCATCCAGCCTGTCTTTTAACACCTCTGGGGATGGGTCAACTCAGCCTTTCTGGGCAGCCTGTTACAGTACTTCACCACTCTGTCTGTGAAAAACTTCCCCCTGACATCTAATGGCCCTCTGGCCATGACCACCCAACCAATTCTTTATCCACCAAATAGTTCTCCCTTCAAACCCATATGTCTCCAATTTAGAGATAAAGATGTGGTGTGGTACCATGTCAAAAGTCTTGCAGACATCCAGGTAGATGACATCAGTTGCCTTCCCTTTGTCTACTGATGCTTCATTCCATCAGTGAAAATTGGTCAGGCATGATCTGTCCTTGATAAAACCATGCTGACTGTCTCAGATCACTTGTTCATCCCTCATGTGCCTAAACATCTCTTCCAGGAGGATCTGTTACATGATTTTTCCAGGCACAGAGGTGACGCTCACCACCCTGTAGTTTCCAGGGTGTTAGGTTCTTAGTTTGTCAAAAATTGATAAATCCTTCCTTTCTCCCATGATTTGTTTGACTTTGTTCAGTTAGACTGCAAAAATTTTGAGATATAGATCAACTCCAATTTATTTAAATTGGAGCCTCTTCCTGACTTCCTTCCTTCATATATTGGGCCAATTATAACTAAGCATATTCTTTTTAATATAATACTAAATTTCCTAAAGTTCAAATAAAAATAATCCAAATTCACTTTAATTAAATTTGCCAACAGTACTTGCATTTTCTTATTATCTTTAAACTATCTTCAGGTATTTAAATTTCACACTATTATTGATATTCCAGATCTAGGGATCAGAAGATATTTTCTTTTTCTTTTTATAATGGTTATGTCTACATAATATGTGAAAGAGGAATAAGAAGCTAAATATGGAAAATGAGCATGAACAGCTGTAGAGCTGTAATTAAAACCATACTGTGATTTTTTTTCCTAGATAAAAAGGATAAAATTCTAATAGTTTTTGGATTCTTCTTTCCTACAAAAAGATCCTAATTCCCATGGCGAAAAGTGGTGGCATGAGAGTTCTGCATTATGATAAGAATGAAAAGCTCAGGTTAAGTGGTAAGCTAAATATGTCAGAGTAAAAAAGAGCAATCTTCTTGAGAATTTCTTCTTTCCAAACTGCATCATTAAGCAGAAGGGAAAGCTCTGTGGCTCTTCTCTGGAACAATTGAATATGAGTTCTTTTGTTATATTGCAAATATATACATAATACTGTAAAGGCAGTAAAATCCATTCTGATTGCTATGCAGGGAAGCGTATGGTCTTGAACAACTAAGAATATGAGCAGAGGAGCCAGGAACAATAACAACAGCAGCAAAACTCAAAACAAAACAAGAATTTCTCACCACAGACAAAACAAAACAAAACAACAGCAGCAACAAAAAATCCACCCACCTGTTTATAGCATAAAGAAAATGGCAAACAGTAATTTGTCCCCTCTGCAAGTCATGCAGGCTTTTGAGGTGGATGAATAAACATTGGCTATATCTTATTTCCTTGTTGTCTTCTTTAAGTCTTGGCTTCTTCTGGGAGAGAAAGATAACATATTGTAATAACAGGGTAAGTGAAGAAATATAGCAAAAGAAATTTGAAAGCTTCAAATTGATATGAAAGGCAGTTCTTCAACTGGGAAACATACAGCATTTTGACATCTTTATTGAAGTCTTTCACAGTCAAGCTAAAGCCCAGACATTCATTCTGGTTACATTTTACATCAGTTATTAGGATAGACATTGTGGAGTTGTCAGATCTTAACAGAAGTCTTTGAAGGAAGAAAGATTTTATGATAAGGAATGTTTTATCTTTTAAAAATTTGAATTTATAGTCTGGAAATATATGTACTAAGGGCAAATGACTGATTCCTAGATCAGCCTAGAAAGAAAGGAAATTACAGATAAGAAAAATAAGGGAGATATTGATGTACCTTAATTTCAAGGGGTCACAGAGCTGGAAAAATTATGTCTGGTATCAGCATCTTACTTACTGCATAGTGCAACATGGTGCAGGTACACACTGTCTGAAAACATCCAAGCTAGTTCTGGAATTAGAAGCAGCATAGACATATCAGCATAATGTTGTACTTGGAATGCTTAACCTTATCTTGTAGATTAATAAGAGTTTTATTAACTTATGCACAGCACTGCATCAACTGCTAGCTTTTGCAGAGCACTGTGTTGTCTCAGGTTGCTGCCGGTCTAGCCTAGCACATAGCACATCTGTGCTGAAAAGTCTAAGAGACTTGGCATGCAGTGAGAATTGAAAGACCAGGATTCAGTCTCACAATGACAGGGGCTAAGAAACCTTGACACCATGAAATCTCAAATCTGGTCACAGAGGTTGGTGACAGAAGATTACAAAATGCTACAGAATAAATGACGGTGTGGAGGCAAGGCTAAATGTCCAAAGGAAACGTGCAGTGTGAAAATAATCATTTCAGGCTTAACAGCAATAGATCTCTATTTCTGACAGAACCTTCTTGCAAGTAGTGAGAGAAAGCAGCAAAGGCAAGACAGAACATCTTCAACAATCAGAAACCACGATGAATTGTGACCTTATCAAACTGCAGGAAGTTATGCACCAGAAAGACTTCTTAGAGCAGTGAACATTTCCACAGTGGATTAATAATTAGAAAACACTGTGTAATATCTACCACTAGGTGGTTGTTAAAATAATTTATTAACTTTTAAATACATCAACATGTCAGAGAAATTACTTCTTTCTCCTGCAGTGTGAAATTCCTGTTCCATTCCTAAAAATTCATCTGTGATAATGTAAGATTTATGTGTAACAGATATTACAAAGTTAAATACCAAATATTCCCTGGCTGCAGGGCTCTCAACTGCAAAAAAAAAAGACTGGTCAGTTATACCTGTTTTATAGGCAGGTTCATCTTTCTGAAACAGTGGGAGGAAAGTTATTAAAATTATATGAAATATAGCATGTGCAATTACACATAGCAATATATATAATTAAGACTCTTTGTTACTACCAATAGGTAAGCTTTTTAAAAAAGTGAAACTCCAGCAACTTTTATATGGATCACATCTCTCATTTGGTAGGAATAAGATAAATGAAAATGTCAGCTTTCTTTTCCAACCATCCTCTGGAAAAAACACCTAATCTACATATTCTTTGTAACATCTTGCACTGTGTTATTCTGCTTGTTAATGCTGCCTGCAAGTCATTCCATCATCAGCATTGCTAGAGTCACAGAGTTCTTAAATGTTTATTTAAAAAATGGTAAAGTGTAGAGATGGATTCAAATGATGCCTTCTACAAAGGATGCGAAGACCTCTTCATGTGAAAATATCTTTTTTTTTTTTTAGTTAACACATGCTGAATTATCAAATTATCAAGTTGTTCCCCAGCTTGACTTTATTTTGTTTTATTTCTGCTTTGTTTTGTTTTATCTACTCCATTAAAAGACACTACACATACTTTTTACATCAAAGACAATCCATTATACATTTTACCAATGTTTGCCACCAAGGTTCTGCCTTAGTTTTGCTTTGTTTTTTTTGTTTTGTTTCAGGAACTAACTTTCTGATAGATGTCTCAAATATTCAATCATAGCTCAGACTTTCGTAACCATTACAAACATAATACATATAAAAATCATAAATATAAACAATGAAATTAAGGTAAAGAAGTTTCTGAAGAGAAGAGTGGTGTTGTGAGAACTGTACTATAATACTCTGGAATACTGGGAGTTAAAGCTGAGACAACCTTGTATATAAAAAATCAACTTGGATCATTTTGGGGGAGTTTTATATTTATTCTTTTAATTTCCTTTCCCTTAGAAGTGCTGGTAATTGCTTTCATGGTAACTAATACACTCTTTTCCTTAGGCAAAGAGATGAGAAAATTAAAAATGTTTTCCATTCATGTTTTAAAACCTTTAAAAGATTCCTTTAAAATAGGTGCTGCTGATCTTGAAGTTCCTGCTTTGTATAAAACAAATGTGATTAGCATAAAATACCTAAGTATTCTTGAATATGGTGATTATTTTGAACATGGACTTCAATAAAACATACAGCCACATGAGAAGATGGGAATTGCTTGTGCAACATCTAAGTTGGGTTAGGCTGCTGGGAGCCAAGGATGGGTTTCTTTGGCAAAGAAGTTAGACTAGAAGGTTCTTGCCAGTATTGTTATTCAAATGTCAATTTTGGAGATTGAATTTCTTTAGAATTATTCTTGAAATAGAGGAAAAGAATAGAATTATGCTAAGAGAAACTGCTACTAATACAAGGCTGGGAGACACTAATTCATAGATGGATCAGAAGGTTATATAGAAAGTTTTTTGCAGGCCTGGGAATTGTAGGAATAGTGTAGAAAGTCAGACATTTAGGAACTAACACCAGTAAGATTAGTTTTAAACTGAGGAGATCATCGTTTGGAAAGCTGCAGAAGAAAGGACAAATTTGAATGTATTATTTAGTCATGTAAGTGGCTGTGATGAACAGCTATTGAAGTACACCTGGCAAGGTGTTTACAGAGTGTTGCAGGTGACTGGACAAGTCAGATATCTACATCTATTTGATGACATAGTGTATGTAGTGCAGTATTACTTCTAAGTCTTGGCTTCATCCGTGGTTTAGTCACTTACTTTCTAGTGGTGATTGCTTTTGGTTTGGTAAGTAGGGCATTCTCCTGGCTTGCAAGAGTATGTAATATGTGGAGTAAAGATCTGAAGTCTCAGAGATCAAAGCAGTGAAGCCACATGAGACAGAGCAGCATTGCTCAGATCCTAGTGCAAACAACTGTGGTGTCTCTACACTGGCCCCCCTACCCATCTAGCTGTGATTTTTGCATGCATGGGCACTCTGGCTGTTTCTGCACCTAAGGCAGAGCAGTTACCCATTAAGATTTGCAAACAACAGTATCACTATGCAAGTTAGCACATAATACTTTTAAATTCACTCTTCTGTGAATACTTTAATTTAGGAACTGGAATGTGTTCAGGTTATCATTGGTTCTGCTAGAGGAGATAGCCTCAGGAATAACAGATGAAAGACTGTTATGATTGTTATGATACTATGATATACTGTTAGGGATGGAAGCTAAACACTTGAAGATGTTCACTGGATCCCAGCAAGTCCCAGGGAAGAGTCAATAGGTGATAAAAGCAATGCATAATGAAACCATAATTTTCTGTCCTTTAACAAAATATACAGCTACAGCTGTGTAGCTGTCTCTCTGTCTTTGATGAAAATCTTCTGAGTTCCTTCCAGCGGAGATGTCCATGTTCCACAGAGGATGTTAGCACTGTTACTCCTTCTAGCGAGTGTTTTATCCTCAAAATTATGCTGAAAAGTCAGTCATCAGGATATTTGCTCCTGATGAAAAGTTGAAGTGGACAGATGTCAAAGCGTCTTTTCAGAAGGCAAGTTACACTTCTAGGATCATTGATCCACCTGGGATGAAATCTCTGCTAAAAAGCCCCCAACTGATTGAGAAATAGTTCTTCATATTCTGTTTTCTTTGGATATAGAATTCAATCACTTTTAAAAAATCTGTAAGTAATTTTAATCAATGAAAGGATGAAGGGTGAACCAGTGTGTTCTTCCTTCTGTCTTTGATGTCTTGCTTTTGTACATCAAAACAAAATCAAAATAATCATTTAAAGTTAGGCACAAAAAAAATTTACAAATCTCTGTTGGAAGAAGGGGAAGTGAAAGAAATGACATTTTCATCTCACTGAAAATAATCCATTTTCCTCACATTTCAGATCTCAGCAGAATTCTGCTTTAGCTTAGTTGAATACATTTTTCAGAATTCATTTCTCATGGGTCATCAATTTCCAACTCTCTTCTTTCTCATCTGAATCCCTAAGCAAGAATACTATCTAGAACAAACTTGAATTGATGTATAGACATTTTAGGCATACTACTTTAGACATGAAAAAAAAATCTCCTTTCTTTTCATTTGCACAGTAAGGGTTACAGTACAGGTCTTAAAAATCTACTTGACTCATGTTATAGTGCTGCTTCCAAGACATGGAGTCCTATTTCCTCAAACCTACAGCACCGTAGGAACTGTACCACATATCTAAACTCACATGAAAACTAGCAAAGACATAGATGCCTTTGCCAACAAAACCAGTGAACTTTCAAATATGACATTTCTAGGGGGCAAATGAGAATCTGCAGAGTTAGACTGCTTACGTCTGAAAGTCCTTTGGAGGAAGTACGGAGGGCTTTTCTCATTTCACTGTGCAGTGATGAGTCGGTATATTCCACTGAAGGCAATCTATTCACATCCACTGAATATGTGTTTAGGATACAGGCAAAAGCAGGTGGAAGGAGGCTGACAGCTATTTGAAACAATGCAGTGAGAGTCCTGGCACTGCATGGCAATATTAATTTCCTTTGGAGATATTTAGTTAGCAAAATCAAATTAATTAATACATAAGGAAATCAATTTAATGCAGTTTGCTTCATCATGTGCTGTGAAAATAAAAAAATCCTTTCACTGGTACTTGATACATCTGTCTATGAAATCACTCCAGATTATAACATTTACTTTCATGTGAAAGTATCAAACCCTAAATGTTTCTACAAAACATGATTATTTCAGATCTGCTATGGTCAGAAATATTTCTCATGTCCAAAAATCTCCAGTGGGCTGCCTGATCAATTATTTTGATCAGTTAATTTGAACTGTTGATGAAGCCTTCCTCCTCCAGCTGCAGGAGACATCTCAATCACAGGCTCTGGTCCTGCTGGGAGGCTTCCACCACCCTGACATCTGCTGGAAAAACAGCACAGTGAACTGCAAGCAATCCAGGAGGTTCCTGGAATGTATTGAGGATGACTTCCTGAGCCAGGTAATAGGCAATTCCACCAGGGGAGATGTAATGCTGGACCTGTTATTCACCAATGCCAATGAACTGATGGGTGACATCAGGATTGGAGGCTGCCTGGGCTGTAGTGCCCATGCAACAGCAGAGTTCACAGTCTTGAAAGATATGGGAAGGGCAAAGAGTAAAAACAGAAAGTTTAATTTTAGGACTGCCAACTTCCAGCTCCG